TCCCCCATTTCCCCATTTTCACCCTTTTCCCACCCCCAGGCATCACCATGCTGACCAGCCTGACCGAGGGCTTCCTCTGCTGCCTGCTGGGCAAGACGCCCAACGCCGTGGGGCCGCTGGACAGCGTTGAGTCCTGCGACGGCTTCACCTTCCTGGAGGTGAAGCCGGGCCGCGTGCTGCGCGTCCGCCACGCCGTCCCCGAGCGCCGGGGCCCGCCGGAATCGCCGGCCGCCGCCGCGGCGCCGGAGCGGCCGGCGCTGCGCTGCCAGCGCCGCATCACGCTCTACCGCAACGGGCAGCTGCTGATCGAGAACCTGCCCGGGGCCAGCGGCGAGCCGGGAGCGCCGGAGCCCGCGGCCACCAAGGACGGCGCGGCCACCAAGGACGCCAAGGATGGCATGGCCATCGCGGCCACCAAGGACGGCGCGGCCACCAAGGACACCAAGGATGGCATGGCCATCGCGGCCACCAAGGATGGCGTGGCCACCAAGGACGGCGTGGCCACCAAGGACGGCGCGGCCACCATGACCAAGGACAGCATGGCCACCACAACCAAGAACGGCGCAGCCACCGTGGCCACCAAGGCCACCAAGGACGGTGTGGCCACCACGACCAAGGACAGCATGGCCACCGCGGCCACCAAGGATGGCGCGGCCACCAAGGACGGCACGGCCACCGCGGCCACCACGGCCAAGGACGGCGCGGCCAAGCGCCGCAAGCGCAAGCCCAAGAGGGTGGTGACGGTGGACTGCAAGAAGCGCATCACCAGCTGCAAGGGCACGCACGGCGACGTGGTGCTCTTCTTCATCCACGGCGTCGGCGGCTCCTTGGACATCTGGAAGGAGCAGCTGGAATTCTTCTCCAAGCTGGGTTACGAGGTGGTGGCGCCGGATTTGGCGGGGCACGGCGGCAGCTCGGCGCCGCCCGTGGCCGCCGCTTACACCTTCTACGCGCTGGCCGAGGACATGAGGGTCGTGTTCAAGCGCTACGCCAAGAAAAGGAACATCCTCATCGGGCACTCCTACGGGTGAGGGGCTGGGTCCCCCTGGAAACCGGGAACGGCCACAGATCCCCCATTTCTGGCGTCCGGGGTTTCCATTCGGGGCGTTTGTCCCATTTATTCTGGGATGCGGAGCTCCACAATCCTTGGGTTCTGTGCAAGCGTTTCCCAAGGAAAGGAACATCCTCACCGGGCACTCCTCCGGGTGAGGGGCTGGGAGCAGGGTGGGATCATCCCGTGAAACGGGAATGGCCAC